TCAAAAACCAAATATTCGGCAAAAAGAAGAAGAAAAAATCTATTGAACGCCGTTCACTTGGGGCCAAATAGCAAAATCTTTTAGCAGTATAGCAACACTGAAACTAAAATTTCAATGCTCAGAATAATATTTCCTGGAAAAACGTTAATTAACTCTAAAAAATAAGGCCAATCAAGAACGTTTTTGAAAATGTCGAAAAGCGAAACAGAGAACGTAAAAATCAATCTTAATTTTTGAAAATTTTTTTTAAAGCTGAACATCTCAATTTTTCAATTACCAGAAAAAGCCAAGAAAAAAGAATTAAGTCAACAGAAATGCTATTAAAAATTACTGCGTTATAATGAAAACGTCTAAAAAAAGTTTTTTTTTTATTTAAAGAAAATAAAAAGATAGAAAAAATGTTCTTAATTTTTTAAGTGAAAATCTTATGCCGAAAATCTCAATTTAAATTTTTCTCATTGCCATAATTTTAGAAGAAAAAAAATTGCTATAAAAATTTTTTTTATTTGTAACTTTATTTTTAAAAAAATGCTGAGTCATAATAAAAATGCCTAAAAAAAGAAAAACAGAAAAAACAAATTTTTCTTAGTTCCTGAAACAAAACTTTAATGCTGAAAATCACACTTTTCTATGTTACTGGTTATTTATATTACAGTACAGGGAAAGAGTGATAATAAATTAATAGTATGAGACGTTCTGTTAAAATGCTGGGTTATAATAAAAACTGCAAAAAATGGATCCTTCTCAATTCTCAAAGTATCGAAAAAATGACAAAATTGACTTGACTGATTATATTTTTTAAAAAAAAAAGTAATATCTATAAAAATTCAAAAATAAAAAAAACTTAGAAAAATACATTTCTAAAAAATATTCTGCCAAATATTTGACTGATCATTCAACCAACTGAATTTTTCACAGAAGGGCCAAATACTCGTTACATCCCTCCCTAATTTAAATGCAATGTTATTGCAACTTGAGAAATTCATAAAATGGCGGAAAACGTGAATTTTTAAACTGCTCACTGTTTGTAGTTTAGATTTCAATTTTTTGTTGCTTAAGTGATCTTTTTCGATAAAAAAAAGGAAAATGTTTACGATATAAAAAATCTAATAATTAATAAAATAAAATAATAAAGTACATTACAAAATAAGCATTGAATTTTATTTTGAACTATCACAGTTTTGTTTTTATTTTAGGCTTTTGTTTAAAACCTATAAATTTTCTTCAATTAAAATATTTAATTTAAATTTATATTACTTAATTATGACTAAACTTTTTCCAAATTTCATTCTGTGGGGATTGCAGTTTTTTTTTTATTTATTAGAATTTAATTCTAAAATAAATTTTCGTATTGCATATGATAAAAAAAAAAACATTTCTTTTCTTCAATGTTTATTTATTTTGATAAATCTATTGTTCATATGATAAAAATAGCAAGTTTTTTTTTTTTTAAAAAAAAAAGTATAAGTTTTTTTATTTTTGAATGAATTCTAATAATGGAACACTACTAAGTTATTGATATGACTAAGTTTATTGATAAAAAAAATGGAACGCTAATGTTTAAATAAACATTGCTACATTTGTCATTAACATCTCCAAATACATGTGCGGCCCTTCGTTAGCCAACCTGCTGTGCAAGTGGCCCTTCACTCAAAAAGGTTGTGCACCCCTATTTTAAATGAAAGAAAAGTATTTTAAACATATGCGAAAATCGTTCGTAAAAAAATTACAACTAATATATTTTAGTTCGCGGGCCACAAGAAAAGGTTTTGTGGGCCTGATGCGGCCAGCGGGCAGCTAGTTGGTAACCACTGTTCTAAATCATTAAACGAATCGCTTTAACCGTAATTCAAGATAGTACATTTATGTAATTTGCATCAAAAAATAATAATTGTAAAATAGTTAAAAAGATAAGACACCGCTTTTTGGGCTGATAGCGCTGTGCATATCCAAGTGGTATTTAAAATCTTTATATTTTATTGCAATATTATTGCAACTCGCGAAATTCAAAAAGCGGGGGAAACTGTAATTTTGTTTTCATTTTTTTGTAGCTTAAGTTATTGTTATTTTTTATTTTTTTAGAAAAACGCTTTTACTATTTAACATTCATAACATTTCTAATAATTCAGTAAATATAAATTTTCTAAAGATGAAGTATATTTATTCAGAGCTAAATATCTAATCTTGTTTTACAGTTGTACTATAATGGTTTTGTTTTTATTTTAAACCCTGTTAAATGTTTTCATAAAATCCTAAAATATTTAATTTTTTTCCCTTTTACTTTTATTCTGCGAGCATCGCACTTTTTTTTTCTTATTGGAATAAACTTATTTGTTATGGTGCGATAAAAGAAAATAAAATAATTTTTTTTCCCTTAATGTTTATTTTAGCGCCATAAAGCTAATTTTTAATTTAAAAAAAATGGAGGAATATTTTTTAAAAGGTATCCGTTTTCCCATTTTTGAATAAAAATGTTTATTTTACAATGGCTGAGCCGATTCTGATCTACATGCAACAATCCGTAGAGCGCCACCTATGAGAACAACCAACACACTTCAATTAAGGTTTGTCACGTCTTTTGCTAAAGAGAAATATTTAATTCTACAAAGAATGTGTTAAACTAAATAATCATTGGTTATAGACGTAATAAAATTTCCCAACCTTTCACAAAATATTTTTAAAATTTATTGTATTGATTGTAATGCAGCTGATTTATACTACATCCAAAAGTACAATAATATAGGATTCTGAACACTACTGCCATGAGTTTCTCAATCTATACATTTTTAATTGGGTAATATTTTCGTGACTGGAACAGCTGTTTCATTCTATCCAAATGTATAATACGTGTCATACTAATTTAATCATGTTCAGAAGGTAATAATATTTACATCTGCAAGCAATGAACTATAATTTTAGGGCTCATCGTTTTGAATGGAGATTTTAATTACTTAATTTTTTAAAAAAATCGTTGAAACCTATCACAGTACCTGCAAAACACTGCAAAATAGAACACTGCAAAACACTGCAAAATAGAATATCACAAACACTGCAAAATAGACGTAGTTTCAGAAGGGGGGGAAAAAAAATATATGAATGTATATATAATAAAAAAAACTGTGACACAGTGAATGACATAATTATTTTATAATGACTTTTTATTTCGAATCAGCGACTATTTTAAATAAGCATAAATCTAAAATTGTCAAAAATTAGAATTGTTATAATTTTTTGAAGAATTTGATTATAAATAATACAATCTTTCACTATATTGCCAAGATGATTACATTCTACAAACGGTGCTTTTATTTTGCATTTTATATAGAAATATATATTTTCAAAGGCCGCCAATTTGAGATCTACCACAGGCACTGTTTCCACTAGATGTGCCTATGATCTAGATCCTAAGGTTTTTAATTTTTAATTCTAAAGAAAGGTAAAAAAAATTTCAGCAGTTCATTACAATATTTGATACCAGATTTTAAGTATTAATCCTATGATCCTGATTAATCATATAACTTTAAACTTTATTATATATTGTTACCTAAAATAGTCGAATAAAAATTTGATAACTATGGAATCTTTAATATTTGATATTCATTCAAAAGTTCAAGTAAAAAAAAATACCTAAATTAGAAAACAAACCAATTAAAATAAAAATCAGATTTTTTTTCCCCACCCTGCCTGTTAGTTTAACGATGTAAGTAGGTTTCAATTTCTCTTCAGAGATTCTTCAAATTATTCTTCGTAATAAAATTGGATGTTTAAGAACCAGTGCAATCTCCGATTGCACTGGTGCGGCCAAATAAGAAGAGAAGATACTCCGTTCGTTTGAATTTCACTTAAACCTACCCCTTAGGCGAATTGTTGAAAGAAAAAATAGTTACGGAGTAGTGTGCTTTCAGGTATGCTGCAAATCTCAATTAGACAAATTGACTTATTTCATTAATAAGTAATAGATAAACTGATAAACTGAACAGCGAAGACGGAAAGTGCTCGATTATGAGGAAACTCTATTCTGTATCCAATTACAGTTTTTTATGACAAAAATAATTTTTTTGAGGAACAAAAATTTTTTATCTGTCAAAAGGAAATTAAATTAAAAGTAGTGAGGTTTAAATGAATAATAGAATAATACCAAGAAACTAAAGTGGAAAGACATTCTTAACTATATGAAAATAAGACTTGTTTCAAAAAATGTGAAGATGGTAGTTAGAGTCGTAGTGTTTTGGAGCGCTCAAAAATAATCACCCATTCTCAAGACTCGCCAGACGTAAGTAATGAGCTGATATGAAACACAAAACGTAAAGTTTCCAACGAAAAATAGAAAATAAAGTAGCAGTAATAGTACTTTATTTATAGTATCTAATGCAGCACTAAAGCTGCCCAATTGACTGTTGGAGACGGCCTGTAAAACATCCCTGAGAATGATCCGAAACATCCCTGACAAAACATCCCTGAGAATGATCCGAAGACAGATTATCACAATTTTGATCTTCTACGGAAGTAATAGCTTTGTAGGTGAAAAGCAAAACTAGAAAATCGACAGTGACCACAGTATATATAGTTTGTCAACGGTAAGAACTCCTCCCGCCACAAAGTCTGAGACCGTCTGCTGCTATGGAAACAAGAATAGCGCATTTCATGGAGGGTAGCTTCTCTTCACTCTAGAGCTAACACAATTGACCGAAGAAAAAGAGTCCCTTTCTCTCACCGACCTAAGCCAAAATCTGTCCTAAACAATGACCCCACATCCCTATTTGAAATAGTTATACCTCGTTACCATAGTCACCGCCACGGGTTCAGACGAATGACTAGGAGAGTTCTTACTTTAGACAAACTATATCTTGTTCTTTCGCCCCGATTTATTTCTCATTTTCTGTTACGGCCAATAGAGTTCTTCTAGTTTTGTTTTCCTCATTCACGTCTGGCGACAATGGGGGCCTATTTTTGAGAACATAACTTCATACTTTCATTTGTTTCCTCTTTTTAAATTTCAGGTAGGATCTTTGTGTGCATGCATTTTAGGCAAAAGAGGAGTCCAAGTAAAACTCTATGAATTTCGAGATGGTGAGTTCTTTTTGTTTAAGATTCATTCAGTGTTTAGCACTTTAGTTTTTCTACAATAAGCACAATTGGGGTTACAACTTTTGCAGAAAATTCATGAGAAATTTTTGAAATTTCGTGCAATGCGGAAAACAAATATAAGCTAGAAAACAAGGGACAAACCAAAAAGATATAAAAAACAAAGGACAAATCAAAAAGATATAAAAAACAAAGGACAAATCAAAAAGATATAAGAAACAAAGGACAAATCAAAAAGATATAAAAAACAATAGACAAATCAAAAACATATAAAAAACAATATAAAATTAAAAGTTAAATTGGTAATTTTTATTAAATAAAAATCTGTATATTTGACTATCACATCACTTTTTAAGCGAATTGAAAAATTTTTGCACTCAATTATAAAATTCGTTTTCACAAAGATAATTCAAGTTAAAAAAAAGCATTTAAGTAAATATTTATTATTTTTTTCAATAATATTCGAGAAAATTATGAATTAAAAGGCACAATTTTTTTTTTACATAATTTTAATGTCCTGTAATTTTGAATGGCAAAATACAAAATTTGAGTGAAATCGGTTAAATAGTTCCTGAAAATTCAATGTTTAAAGCAGTCGTATTTTTAAACTTATGAAAGGTGTCACACAAGTAATATTCTGATGGCGAAAATTTTTCACAGATATTCGCCAAATGGAAGTGGTTCAGGGACGGAGCATTAACCTGGCGTTGTCCGTTAGGGGTCGATCTGCATTAAAACTTGCAGGTTTAGAGGAAGAAGTGATCGAAAGGCATGGCATTCCTATGAAGGGGAGAATGGTACATTCATTGACTGGACAGAGAAATCCTGTACCTTATGACCCTGAAGGACGAGTAAGATCCATCATATTCTTTAGCAATAGAATCATTCAATACTGCATATTATATATATGTTACGGCGAACGACCGAAATAGGTGGTTGTTGACTTTCACCGGTGAATGTCGACGAACACCAAATACGTCGGTGAAAGATCAAATATTTCATTACATTCTTGTACATTCGGACCCTCACCGGTGTATGTCAACAATCACTTAATCGCTTTGGTGAATGTCCGAAATATTTGTTATATCCAATTTTATATTAATTTATTCGTTGATATTATTATATTTATTTGATATATTTATATTTATTCTGTATTTTAATACTTACTGACGATAGATTAGAAGAAACATCAGTGTTTGGAGTATCGG